CCTGGGCACAGCCTAGCTGGTTTCCAAGGAATGATGTGTCTCCAAAACAGAGTCTTCCCTGGAGGTCCTTTTTGTAGGGGCTGTTGAGGGGCAGCTCAGACCAGCCGTCCAATGATTTTGGATGCAGACGTGTCTTTGTCCTGATGCTACGTGCAAGCTCAGCACTTTTGAGAACATCAAACAGTTGTGCAGGCACTTTCGGGAGGAGATGAGCTACATCAGCTGGGGGTTTATCTGGCGTCAGAAAGGGCAGCTCTTTGACTCAGAAGGGAAATGAATTGGGTTACTGGTCAACAAATAAATCTGGAGTCGTTCCTCTATCTCACCACCAAAGCGTAACGAGAAGCCTTCTGATGGGTGAAGAAGGCAAAGATGGATCTGGACCTGCTGGGCTGAGAGGGCTGGGGCACCACTGCTGTGGGCTCTGTCCCAGCCCGGCTGAGGACCCTCCAGGAAACGATTCCCAAAAAGCAGTTTAGCTGATGCCACTCTCTGCTTTCCCCTATAGAGAGATAGGAATGACTTGTCCCCAGGGACAGAAAATGTCACATTTGATGAATACGGATGTATCCACAGAGATCATGAAATGTTCCTTTATTTTTAGGAAAGGAAGGGGATTTTTTTTCCCTCTCCTTTGTTTTACTTGACTTTCACTTTTTTTTAATATATTAGAGAAGATGAAATGAATTAGGGTCCCATCCCCATAGTGCTTCAGGCACAAAACTTCCCTGAATATCAGCTCTTTGGCGGGGATCCCTGCATTCAAGCCACAGATGGGAATTAATGCTCTGAATTTGCTTTTGGGGTTAAAAAAAGGAAATCTGTGAATCTAGAATGTGGCTGTTCTTGTGCAGAGGGGAATATTGCAGCTTCATGATTCACTGCCATCTAGTGATATTTAGTGTTTTCCTAAAAGGATCAACACACAATAACAATTAAAACCCAAACAACAAAAAATCCCACCTAAACCTGTTCCTAGCATCCATAGTTACAGAGAAAAGCTGGAAACCGTGAGGCTCTAAAATTCAAATCACAAATAAAATGAAAAGTTGTGACATTTGTTGCTTTTACATTTTTATAACCTATAAATTCTTCACACAGACTATGTTCTTTCATTGAAAAAGAAGCTGGAGTTTTCCTTAATTAGATCTCGCCTTGTGTGATATGAAGACAAGGTTTCCAATCTAACGTTTTTAGCCTTTGCCTTCGGGTAGAATGGCAAAATTAGGACAAGCTCGCTCAGATGAGCTAGTAATTATTATTATTCCTTCCATGTACAAGCTGAGTACCTGGGAGCTCTTGTACTAGTTCAGAGAGGAAATACTCGGCGATAGATGCCGCATAACACATAGGCAAAGTTTAACAGAAAATAGAGATGATTTTTTTTTAAGCCAAATAATAGGGGGATGTTCCAGCTTTTTAAAAATGATAAAAGTAGATTGGACAAAGCAGCAGGAAGCGACACACAGAAACCATCCTGCCTCTAAACCCAGAGGGGCAGCGGGAGTAGTTGTCCTTGCCCAAAGCTGATTTTGAAGAGGGGTTTGCTCACAGATCATCCCTTGGTGAAGAGCCCGGGTTGAGCTTAGCTGAGCACCGCACCGGTTCCCGCTTGTGAGCTGCCAGCAGCTAACGCTCACTTGCTCAAATATCTATGAAACACAACAGCATGTGTTTACATTTTTAAAGCAGTAGATACTCCAAGAAAGCAGTCACTGAAGAGCTTTTAAATTTTCAACGAGTTCAGAACACCCCAAATCTACAGTGCATCCTAGTACTTTACTATTTTTACCGTATTTACTCTTTTTACTACACCAGCATTTTACTGCCCTGTATTTTACCGCTAACTGTGCCAGGCGTGACGGAAGGGACCACGCTGACGGAGATGAACGTGGTGGCTGGGTTTTGCGCTTGACCCCGTAAAATCTTCCATGAGCACGTGGGGAGGCTCGCTGCTCTGGAGGAGGCAGGCAAACCTCGTATCGTCCTGCAGGACTGGGGTTCCCCGCAACCCAGGGTCAGGGTCAGTTTTAAACATCGGAGAAGGAGGAGAGGAGAGGAGAGCACCCTATGGACCGTCACACCTCTCCATCAGCATCCTCAGCCTCCACCCTCACCCAAGACATTGGGGACACCCCCCCTTCTCGGCCATGGCCATGACACGCAGGGGTGTCCCCTAAATCAGTGCCTGAGGGAATAACTGCCTTCCCATGAGGCCTCTCTTCTCATGGGACATATGAAATGTGGGTTATGGCATGATGTATGAATTCTGACAGTGAAATCATTTTTGGGGCACAGCCCTTAATTTCTTCCTCCACCACTTTTACAGAAAAAACATGAACACAGATTTGAGAAGCAGCAGAGGTTTGAATTGCTTCATTTATAAACCATCCAAACAAATGGCCTGAAGTAATTTTGTTCAAGGTTTTCAGTGGTCTTCTCAGACTTTGTAAGTGGATTCCCAGAAAATACCATAACGCTCTTTATTAGAAAAATCAGTTACGATTTACTAGTGGTGGCTGTTCCCCAAGTGACCTAGAAAGCCTGACCAAGTGAAACTATTTTTTTTTGTTACCTGTATTTCTTCCCACCATATTTTTTACATGGCTCACGTAAGCGGCTGGCCTCTCAAGTCAGGTGCAGCAAAGAACACACAGCACCCAATTGTGACACAAGCAAAAGGAGTTTTCCTGAACACCGATATGATGAGACTGGGTGCAAAGAACGGGAATGGAAACGGTGGAAGAGGATTACAGCAGAGTGAGCAGCTACTGGCATAGCTACACGGTCACATCTTATCCTGGCTGATGTTACATCTGAGACTATGACACGGTCAAGCCAGGTGACGTTAGCTCTTCAAAGCCCGTCACCAGGCCTGTCCTCCAGCTTCCCTACAATAACTCCACAACCTTAGAAACAGCATGGCCGGGGCCAAAATGCAATATGGGGAATCCCTAGTAGAGAATCATGGATAAAAACAAGCATAGACACCCAAACCTTAGTATTAGGCATGAGCTCAGTACTAGGAGGGACCCACAGGTTAAGTCTCGTCTCCCACAATGACAGATAACATGCAGAAAGATCTACACAACTTGTTCGGTGACCCGTATCTCACATGAAAGGGCTCGGTCTGGCCACCTCGCCTGCCTCATGTGCTTCACATAATATGGAAGCGCTCCTCCAGAGCTCCAAACAGGAGCTTGGGCAGGGCGCACTTCTCAGGTGCCTGTTACTGCTGGAGCTCTCTAACAGACCCTAAATTTGGCTCTCAACAAATATATCGCCATCAGGTTCTTCTGCCTAGCACCTCCTCTGAACTGCGGCTTTTAATCAGTCTTTCTGCGACCTGCCAATGAATCAAACACAACCCTTTTGGCTTCGGCACAGCCCTGCGAAACTCCCAACAGTGAAACGGTTTGAATTATTGTTGTATTACGAGACACAAATCTTGTCTGAGCTAAGATACAGCGGTGTGTAAAAGGAGATTGCACGCACCATTCTCGGCGGATGGCTGGCCTGTGCTAAAGTGGCAGGGCAGTTTTGCAGAGCAAAAGCAAGCTCACACGGCACAGCGAAATGTGGTGTTCTTCATTACATTCACAGAAATTAAGTGCTCTTTGGAGTGACTTCAGAATGAAATACTTCTTGTCTTTGACTGGCACGCTGCAGTCCGTGGCACTGCTGGCAGGCTCCCTTACCTCATAAAATCCTTTAACACATTAAAAAAAAGATCTCTCAAATACAAATATCTGCAATTCATTCAATATTGTTTATTTTATTACAAGAATAGTTTAGGACAGAGCAAAAAAACCCATGGCAAAATAAAATTTTGAATAATTAAGAGACTTTACAAGCCTCAAGATGTCAAGTAACCTCTCTGCTGGTTATCGTTGTGCGATGTACCAATCTTTCACACCAACGCGTGGTGCCGCACTGTAACTCAGCACTCCTGCAGAGTATCACATTCAGCAGTAGTGCAGAGATTACAAAGGAAATATGCTTCCTTCCATTGTTTTATTGCTATCTCATCTCACTGACAATGCAGCTTTTAATCTACTTGGGTTATCTCTGAGTTTGGCAGAGACAAAACCAGCCCCTCTTGTGCTCCCCAATTACCGTATATCCACGTGGGTGCTGTTGATTTCAGAAAGGAGAATTAACAAAGCATTAATTAGGCTATTAACAAAATATTCTGACCCCTACAATTAATACATTAATAATAATTTACTTGTAACATTAGTTGCGTGACTCATAGTGCCTGAATTTCTTATTTAAAAAAACCCCAAGACAAAGGCCATGGGGTGGGGGTGTCTGAGGCCTTCAGACACACTGAGCTGGCGCTTGCTTCAAAAGATGAATCATCAGAATCTGGTTGGTATCAGTAGAATTGGCCTGCACAATAAATGAGGTGAGTCAGCCTTTCCCCAGAGGTGTTTCAGTCCTTTGGCTACAAAAAAATAACACAGCTCAGCTGCAAGCAAACTTTTTACATTATATAGACCAAGCAGAACATTTATATAGCAAAGATTTTCTGAAATAACCCCTGGAAGCTCTCACATTTCTAGGGTTTCAGTATCTATTTCAGTAAGAACAGAGACACACTTGCGGTATTTTCTTTTTACTCTATCCTTCCAGTGTCGATAGAGAAGACAAAATCTGCAGGCCTCGCCCCTATACACCGATTATTCTGGGCTGTACGTGTCGTTGCCATAAAGTTATACAGCTCCCTAAGTGCAGAACAAGCCTGGAGAATGCAATCAAAACCAAATATACTTGATATGGACATCAGAATCTGGAAAAAAATAAAAAGTTTGGGTACGGTCATATGAGACTGCCAAGATAAAGTAAATATCAGTATAAAAATTGCTGATATTCCTGGGGTACAAGTGCATCAGAGAGTTTTAGCCCCAAGTTCTTCGCTAGCTTCTGTTGTACAAACAACTACCCTATTTTATACCAGTTCTAACAGAATGAAAAGCAAAACTTTTCATCAAGTCTTGCAGCTGATGCTGAAGAAGAGCATCTTATGTTCAAGCACCAAGAATGGACTAGAGGGGTTCTTGTTTGTTTTTAATTATGTGGCTTATTCATTAAAAGGTTAAACTCCTGCTGTATTTTTCTCATGCCACAGTTGGAGCAACAGCTCGGCTGTCAGGCTGGAGGTTGATCAGGGAATTGCTTGCTTGGGCCAGCTCTGCTATGGAGACTCGTCCTCTCTGTTTGATGTACTGAGCCACAGCAGCCATCTCCTCTGGAGTGATGTAGATGAACTTTCCTCTGTCATCAATCACACCTACAGGGGGAAAGAAAGGACCTTGAAGTCAGCACTTTGGCTCCTCTCACTTCCCGACAGACATCAGTCACTTCTTTTGGAAGGGACGTTTAAACTGCTGAGGCTGCATTTCATATCTAGGGCAGACAGAACAACGTGTTAGCAGTCAGGCTTTTATCTCCACTCTGCTGTCGGGTCTTCGAGCAGGGCTGTGATAATAGAGTGTCTTGGTAAGACTAATTTAGTTTTAAGTAACACGTTCTTTTATTGTATGCAGATAGCTGGGAGTACGACAGCAGCTACTTCAGGTATATAGTTTTGGTGCTGATGTTCTGGGCCCAGGCAGCTGGTAGAGAAAGGCAGAGCAGCAGGAGGGTCCAGGAGGTGATTCAGAGACCCTGTGGGGCCCAGCTCAGCCATTCCGACCTACTTGCTAAAAGGGAATGAAGCCCAATTTCCATACTTCAGTTGCTCCGTGAGGAGCGAGAACAGACCTCTCTGTTCTTAACGCATTACAGGATCAAATGCAAGGCCAAGAGCCTCAGCGGCATGCCTTTTAGGCCACAGACACAGCCAGGACCCTACACATCCTTAGGCTTTGATTCAGAGTGCTTTTAGGTCACTCGAATGGGTATCCACATGCACCCGCCAAGAAAGTTGTTTCCCAGCCATGACCACAATATCAGGTCAGTAAATGTTTGCGTTGGCACCTTCCCCTACTTCCTCCTCACAAAGAAAAAGACTGCCCAGCAGTAAAACAGACTTGTTCAGACAGGGAGCTGCCCACATGCTCAGTCTCTGCTTACATTCCAACTTTGATTGCATGGGTACATGGCCAGCAAGAAGCACTTCACTTACTACAGTATCCTGGAGTGCTCTGGGATGTTTGCTTCTCCTACAGCCTGCCGTACGCTCAGCCCTGGCTTTAGCCACAGCACCTTTAAAACAGACTTGCAAACTACCCCAAAACATCCAAGTGACTCTTTCAAATTCAGATTTCAGACGACATCATTTGCAGCCAGCTGCTCAGCAACCCCTAAGGACCCTCAGCAGGCCTCAATCAACATGCAGAAGCCTTGTGCTGGCTCCTGAACCGGTGGGGACGTTCACCCTCCCACCTCTGTATAATGTAGCATGGGAGCAATCACACCCCATAGTGCTTTCAACTGCAGTTTTATGGCAGCTGAAGCAGGGATAATTAAAATATCTATTTATCAAGTCCTACTAGGATCTTCTACAGTTTAAAATAGAAATTAGACTGGAAGTCTCTCTCCACCATAGTACAGGCACTTTCTGCACCACCTATTCACCAGCTACAATATAGTCCCCGTAGTGTTTTGGCTGTCACCTGTTAGAGTGCCATCAGCCATCAGGTCCTGGATTCTGTTAATTGCATCCTGTTCAGAAGGGAAAAAGGTATAACAAATTTATCAAGAGGAAGGCAAAAAACATTTCACACGTTCAGATAAACTACAGATGGAGGCTTACACTTAATTCCTCAGTGTTAAAGACTTCAGTGAAGGATACACATCAGTATTTCCACACAGACAGATGCCAAGTAAGCCCTTTGGTCTTAGAAGGATGAAGTAAGCTTCTGTATTTTGGGGTGTTCAAATAAAGTCTCTTTTGGGGACAGGGAAGTTAATTGGTAAGTTAGCTGTCAGTTTTTTGGAAGAGGGGTGGCTATACACATCTTCCCAGGGAAAGGCTGTATACTGCCAATGTAACACGCAAGTTCTCAGAAGTACACTGAGGTACTTCTCCAAGAACCTGGCTACACTAAATACATTCCAGAGCTTTTTATGTTTGTTTTTCTTTTTTTTTTTCTTCCCCTGCTCCATTTAAGAGGAAACCTCTTTTGCAAATCCAAAGAACAACTTGTTGAATTTATTGCTGGCTTAACTCCATAGTTACTCCAAGCATGCAGTTCCACTATACCTTAAGCTAGTATCTAAGTGCTGTTTTCCACAGTTCTGCCTCTCTCCCTTGCTTGCCTTTATGTGACTGCAGAAGCGAGTTATAGTTTAGATTTCAACCACATAAATTCCCTTAACTGGCTCACTGCATGTTTAAATGAAGTTCTGGTTTAAGAGAGAGGCAGCAGTACAGCAGCCTGGGCTTACAGCAGCGTAAGCTGCTGCGAAGGGGCACCTCAAGATCAGATATGGTACACAACAACAGAAAACTTCGGTCACTTAGAAATATGTGTCAAATGTGCTCAAATTAAAATAAACCAAGCCATGACTATTCTTCAGAGTCAAAACATAAAATGTTTAGAGAACAGAAAGAGGACAGAGGGGAAAAACAAAGTATAGATATCACACCATGAGCTCACTTTGACAAGCTTATATGGTGCTGAGAGGGACAATACTCTGAAGTAATGCACCAGAAGATACAAATTAGGGTGGTCAAACACTGGAACAGGCTTCCTAGAGAGTAGCCGATGCCCCAAGCCTGTCAGTGGCATTTCAGTCAGCCCTGAAGTGGTCAGGACTAGATGCTTGTTGTAAGTCCCTTCCAACTGAAATACTCCGTTCTATTCTGTAATTCTTAAATGTTCTAAGAAAACACAAGCAACTGGAGCAAAAGACCTCATCTACTGATTGTCTGCAAACATAACAACATTGTCCAGTTATGCAGGCAGTGTCTGAATTTGCTTCTAGCTCTGCTTTTGGTTCCCAAATAGCCTGGATTGCTCTATTACTAGACTTGCAAACACTATAGCATCCATTAACCAACAGGCAGCTCTGCAAGGGGCAGACCGAGCACTTTTCACTGAAACAATCTTGTAAGCCAACAGTCCTTCACTAGCTGGACGGTACACTGATGAATGGCCACAGTTTTAGGGCTGATTTTGCTGAACTTCACCAAAACCCAAGCATTTCCAGTAATGCTGAGACACTTGCATAGATGTTACCCTTACTGACCCACTTTCTCTCCTGTCCTTTTAAACTCATTGCTTGTACTTGCACCTCAAAAGGTAGTACTTACCTGTGTTCTTAAACCCACATGTGAAGCCAAGTCCTCCAGCTGGATTACCTTTGTTTTCTATTGAAACAAACAAGAGTTAAATGCAGCTTATTTCTTTTTCTTTCAAATAAAATATTGCATTTAATAGACAAAGTAGAACTTGCCATTCTAACTTTTCCTAGTAAGCACTTTGACGAAAAACTCTAAGCAACTTAAACCACTCTGCTCTGTGGAAAGACTGGATGCTCTGTCCCACTTAAGTGAAGACTCAAATACATTTGCCAGCGTTCATCCTGAAGCTTTCCTTACTTTAGGAGGACAGGATGAGCACGAGCACAATAAACAGCCATGGCTCTGTTCCCCCTGCCATCTGAGTTTCTCAACTGCTACCTTTAATTTCCAGTATGCTTTAGCAAGATCCCTTTTTGTTCGAGAGATGTTTCAAAGCACATTTTAAAATGATCACTGGTATATATCAGTGCATACATTAGAATCGAGACAAGACTGGCAGCATTAAGTGCTTTAGTCTGTTTTACTAATGTCATGTGTATTAATGCCATAATAATCTTCCTAAGCAAGTGAACACCTTATTAAAATTATCAGTGCTGGAAGTGTACTGCTAGCGCACTCCTGCACAGGCAGCAAAATGATCTTTGAGAACAAAGGTAAAAGCAGGAACTGCAAATTTTCATTTTGCTTTTGAAAGAGGTTCTTACTGCAGGCTTTCTCAGGCAGGACGCAGTCACCACTGCTCACATCTGGTTTTATGATTCTCTGTAGCTCCAGAGAAAGACAGAAAAAAAACTTGGTACACTCATCCGGAGCTACTTGGTTCCTGTTTTCTTATCTGCAAACATTTTTGAAACTCATTCTGTTTAGATGCAGTAAAACAATGCACCGTTTATAAGGAATTTGGAAAATATAAAACTTGTGAAAACTTAGTTAACATTCTGGACTACATTCCTAAAAGCCATATATGTACGGCCACAAGAGCTACATTTACATTATCAGATGCAGTACTTCAAACAATAAATGCGTTTGTTTCTGATCTTGAAAGTACAGTGGAAGGACATTGAAGAAGTAAAGAGAGGCTGAAATAGATGAATCTTTTTTATTAATAAAATCAGACAAAAAAGTCACAGACAGTCTTAGTAGTTGTGAAGTTCGATGCAGCCAAGCTAGAGAACTGAATACCATGGACTGAACGCATGGAAATGGAACCAGTCCATGGAATTCAGTTCTCAGAGCTGGGAACTGCCAAGATTCGTCACATCTTCTTTTAAAAGGAAAAGGGGAGCATGAGAGGTGGGTGCAAAGCCATATAAACAAGAAAAACAGGATTTAAAGGATTTATCTTCACTTAAAGATATTCACCCCCAGTGACCAAGTTTAGTGGAAGCTTTCCAAGCTAGATCCTGCTGTGAATAAGAGCCCAGAGGGTGGGGTGGAATTAGGATGCATTCCCCACACACACTCTGAAATATAATGACATTGTGAGGTTCCAAGTGAACAAAACACTTCACCACATGCTTCACGTTTCAGAGACAGGCTTCACTTTCATAGAGCAACTTATACACATCCACATTTTACTGAATTAATTTAATTTTAGGTATGATTCTGCTGCTGTCTTCAGCAAGGGATGAAACAGAGCAAGAGCTCTCAGGATTAAGATGAGCAGGATTTCTTTTTCCTTATCTTGTAAGCATTATTTTTCTTAAAGAAAAAAAACAGGAAGGGGTAAAGCCTCCAAGTCCTTTGCTATCCCTTTCAAATGTAGTGAAAATGGAGTCTGCTGTTTCAGTTCACTGGCTGTAATTCAGATGCATTCAATGACACACTGTCAAGCCGGGTGAGAACAGTCTGATGGACGAAGTGCAGGCTCACATTTCCTTGGGCTAACAGAGCAAAGGAACTGCTCAGCCACTCTTTAACCTCCGCCCACTTCATTATTAATTTTTTGAAGTGCTCAGAGAGCCCACAGAGCTGGGAAAGGTGTGTCGTACAGCTACGACACTGCTGAGTAAAACCATAGGGTTCCCATTAAGAACTGTTTTTTCTGCTCCCCTGAGAGCGGAGCAGCCAGGTCTGTAGCTTGAGGACTGGTCACTGTAAGAAGCAAACACACAGGACGGCTCCTGCAGCAGAGACAACGCCACAGCCTGAGGTGTGAGGTGGTGACGCTGCAGCAGCCAGATTGAGGTTGAGGGGCTACTAGGAAAGCCTCAGAGGAAGGGAGATGCTCAGCTTTCAGAAAAGCAGAATTAGGGGCATCAATCTTTTTGGTGTCTTTGAGAAAAATCCCATTTAAAAGAATCCCACAAAGCACAGCTGGAGAAAAGAGGCTGTGTTTTATTTCAAAAACCCTTAGGAATGAAGCATGGGGTGAGCTACCTCCAGCCAGTTATACCAGTAACATAAGTAATTCAACAGAAGAGCTAAATTACACTTTATTTCTTTAAATGCCAATTGCTCTTTTAATTTATAAGTTTTTCAGACAGCTACTAGCAGCTTAGCACTGCTTCTTGAGGTAAGTCAACAGTTTCTGTGAATAGAACAGATGAGGGCTGTACATAATCTATGTATTAAGCATACTTTCAAGATTAAAAAAAAAATACTAAAAATTGTAAAAGAAAGCAATGCCCCAGTTCTGCAACTCATCTCCACATAGCAAATCAGGTGTCAAAGCGCTTCTGAATTAGGTTTTCAGCCTGTGCTTAATTTCTCTGACGTCAAGTAGAAGTGACTAATATAAAACTATACATATGTGCTTAAACGCTGAACTGAGAGTTTGTGACTAATCTGTTCCATCCATCACAACCACCAGGGCAATGTGCAGAATCAGACCCTACTGCATCATCCCTTCGAAACCCTCCCAGTTTTAGTGGAAGATCCCAAAGGACATTGAAATATCCTATTGTTCTACCTACTCTTATCCTGGGGCAGCTTGTTTATCAACAGAGAACAGCACATTCTCCTTAATTCACAGCTTGGCTGTATCTCGAAAGCCTTAGATGGGAACAGGTGAACTGGGATCACACCGTACCACGTAGTCCATTTCCACAGATAGTAACTGAAACAGAGGATGGTCTTAACAAACGTGACCATTTCAAAGCACCCCTCCCTTTCAAAGAGATCTCTCTGGCTTCTGTGGAAAACAGAATATCAAAATTGCTGCACGGCTGCAAAATGAAACGTGCAATCTGATGGTTCATCGGCACTCTATGGTTTTACTTAGGCTCTTCAAACATGTCACCCATAGCTTTTCCAATCTGTTCTCAGCTGTCTCACCTGCCTTTGGCCATGCTTCTGATCTGAGTTGACTGGCTTATGCTGGGGACTTGGTTAGTGAACAGGGGCTATTTTCATTTGGGCTGCAGCAATGAAGTAAGTCCCAACTCCGAGTGCCACTAGGTTACACGTTTCCAAATTACACCCAGAGATCAAGCTGATCAGAAAGCACTTGACAGATGCAAACGGAGCAGCCTCTCTCACTGTGGCCCGATGGCAATGGGATACACCACCACAAGTCCCAGTGACACCAGAGAGTGTCAGGCAGAGTGCAGACAGCAAGAGATGCTTGCATCCTAGCTTTGCTATGCCTCTGGAATGATCGAGCCATTGTTCAGACCTCCATGGCAATCACTCTGACTGACTCCGTTTGGAGAGTTATCCATGAGACAAATCTGTTTGCTACGCTGGGTTTTTGCTGGGGTCATGGACATGCAAAACTGGCCCAGAGTACGAGGTTCTGGATTAACAAAATGATTCGGAGGTCACTAAGTATGCAAGTGATTTGCTTACTAATGAAGCCTTTCACACACATGCCATACATTGTCAGGTAAGAGTCCAGTTTCCAGTAAAGGAGGAAAGGGATTAATTGGGACAAAAGATTTGCATAGCATTGTCAGAGGAAGAGTAGAAAAATACCTTTGACTTTTGATATGCCAACAATGGAAAAAGAAGCATCTGCTCTTACAGATGGAAAGTGGAAATCCTCATGAACACACTGCAGGTTTTAAATAACTAACCATACAATAGCATGAAAGGGAGACTAATACACCCTGTAAAAAAACACGTGATCTTTTCCCTAAATATTCCTTCTAAACATTAAAGATAACTTTGCAAATTGCACAGGTAAAAACAAGAAAAGAAATTACACGAAAAGTTGGATTGACCTTTAGACACAAACACATCCTGCAGGGCAGGCCACATGCTGGTACAGCAATCCTCATTCATGCTGAGCTGAGGTGTAGAGACTGTTTTCTAAATCAGTAGCTGATGTTCACAAACAAAAAGCCTGAATGTCTCAAATCCCATCAACAGCAAACATTGTTGTTCATAAACTCTGAGGGTGATCCACCAGGCACAGAATTTATAATGTCCATCCTTAGGAAAGAGCTACAATCCTGCCCCAAAAAGCCAAGACACAGCTGTAATTACAAACCATTTTAACAGTGATGGACATACTCATGCACGGTTAAGTAAATAACACAGACTTTAACTAAGGTATCACTTTTGTTACTTGTTGAATATTTAAGTAAATCAAAGAGGAAGTAAAGATTTCCCTTCTTTCTGCAACTTTGACAACTCTTTGACAAAGGTATTTTATACAATCTAACAAGTCTGGAAGGAGGAGAAAGACCAGTGGTAGCTTACCTTAATGTATTCGAGAAATTCCATTAGAAAGCTGCGAGACTGGACACAGCAAGGAAAACAATTATTTTAAATTCATGAACATTAAATGCATCGCAAACTTGCTGCGTACAAATATTATAAATGTGTTTAGCTTGCATACTTCCAAAGTTTTAAACATACACACTGAAGGAGATTTTAAACTGGAAAAAAATATATCTAGATTTAATCTTAACTAGGAATTTATGATAGGTATTTTCTAAGACAGAATATGGCTCAAGTACAATTTGTGGTTAAGTGTTTTCTGAAAGGAAATCTTTGAATCTTTTATTCTTCACATCATACATACCCCTGAAATAACCACATCTGGGTGAATTTGTGCATTGTGTGTTTAGTTACATATACACACTGAGGACATTTTGTATAGAGGTAAAGTACAGAGTGATTCAGAAGACAGCTCATGCAGATGGTCAATGTAGCACACAGCTGCGCAACACATGTGGAAGCTCAAGCTGTTTTCAAAGCTACGCACCTGAAATCCGGCATTTTAATATAAGCAGCTCAATTTTCAAAGGCAATGCAAACAATGTGCATTTAAGTTACCAGGGGATCATGTTACTCTGCAACTCTGGAAATCAATCAGCCTTAATTAACTGCTTAACTCTGGACTCAGGTCCTTAACTTCGAGCACGAGTTTCAGCACGCTAGCCTCAACAAGACATGCCAGAGCCAGCTCTTGTAACAGGATACTAAAATGCTTCAGTACATTATCCACTACAAGGAGGACGGGTGGCTTGCCATTTCTGCAAGGCTGGTGTCTCCAAACTGTGATTGTTTCTAAAGATGACTTTCAAATCGCCTACTATTAAGAGTTCTATCTCCCCACTCCTACCAAAGATATCTTATGTTGAGATCCAGGCATCATCAACTGCCTGCCAAGCTCTTTTGAGTGAGGAACAGCCTTCTCTGTTCCCACATATAGAAAGATTAATTTCTCCTTGACAGCCAGGTGTAAGAACACAGAAGATAAACACATTTGAGCTTTAAAGGATGTCTAACATGGAACAATTTCATATTTAGGTATAATCTGGTCTTCTAACAGGATGGGCATGTGTTTTTGAAGGAACTTTCAATAGAAAGTATGCATTTTGCTGTTCTCTGCATCTTAGAAAATTCCCCATCACCAGATACAACTTCTCTTGGTGTTAAGCCTAGCATGATGGAGGAATTTATCTCAATGGGAAGGGGTCCACAGTGAGAATCTGTGACTAACATCAACAGGTACTGATGCATTGAAAGGTCCTCAGCCCGAAGCCACTCTCAGTCACACTAAGGGCAAATCCACTGAATTCAGGGTCACTTTAGCAGAGGACCAAATGCACACATGGCCCTGAAAAAAAATATTTACCATGAAATGCATTGGACAGCTCAAATTTGGCAGCTGCAACCCAAGAGCAGCTTCAGCATTTGATAGCAATTAAAATGAGTCTAACAGGTTTTCAGCAGACAGAATAAGAACACTGCCTCCCACAACAGTGGAACTTTTTCAAGTTTGCTGTGCTATTATATCAAGTATCACATTTCAACAACCATCCCCAGCAGCGTCTGCAGGCAGCCACAGGACGAGCATGCTGGAACGTGATGCAGAATTCGAAATACTATCAAACACAGCAATCATTTGCAACAGTGAACGTACAGTTTTCCAGCATACAACACACAAGCACCTAGGTTGTGTCCTGTGAATTCTCTTAACATGTGCCTTTTAAGACAAGAGCTTGTTTTTTTTTCATTTGATTTCACAGCAGCTCTGTTGGTTTAGAAAATAAAACGAAAACCAAACAATTTCTCCCAAGAAATGTGGGCACTGCCAAACTCCATATTTAGCCTTGCTTTCATCTGACCATGATGGACAGAGTAAAGCTGATGACAGTATCTGACTTGCAGGATGAGTTTTCTTTCAGTCCCTACATTAAGGGAGGACAGAACTCATTTCCAGCAATATGCATTTGCCTTAGTACTCTATACTAACTTGTAGGAGTCTGGAATGAGGGATTGTAGCATTCTTCAGGAAATACTCCAGGTTAATGTGTGCCATATACACAATTTAGCTTTTACAAGCAAAAACTTTTGGCTGACTCCTACTTTGAAGTTCATTTTACACGAGACAATGCAGCAAGGGCAACCTGAGTCTAACAAAGATAAAGAAAACTGCAGTAACAGCCTATACATACCTCTTCCTCCGTCATTGATTCCTCAACCCCTTCCTTTTCAACTATAAAATTCTCCTTCAGCTTCAGGTACTCTTCATACTCTCTCTTTTCCTCTTCTTCCTTTGCCTTCCTTTTTTCCTCTTCCTGGACAGAAAAGATGACAAGTGGTCAGTTTGCTCCTCCCCAAATCAGGCTTAGTTTTAAGTAAAGTAGCACCTTTTTATCTGCAACCTGGTTTTACTAGAACAGACAGTTTCTAAAATGAGTCTAAGTCCTACCTTTACGGCATCATGAATTTCACAAGCTACCCTTAAGGCAGTAACCCTCTCACATGGTAGTGTAAGCTTGCACAAAATACACCTAGGCTGGATCTTAAAAGATCTGAGACAGGGGAGAAAAATCACTCTTATATAGCAACCTGCTTTCTTAATTTGCATGAATATGTTTCTTCTGCAGATCCCGTGACAGGAAGTCCCTGCCCCTAACTGTACTTTGATGCAACATCCACATTTTCAGTAACTGGCCCCACTTCTGCTCTGATATACGCTCATGTACATTGGGAGTGATCACAAAGAACAGTGGAGTTAAGTGGTGGCCATCTGTGTGCGAGAAGATGGCCTGTAAAGGAGCTTCAAGTAAAATCTCTTTCTTAAAACATACTTCAGTGGGTTGAGCCAGGCTGGACACCAGGTGCCCACCAAAGCTGCTCCATCACTGCCCTCCTCGGCTGGACAGGGGAGAGAAAATATAACGAAAAGGTCCTCGGTCAAGTAAAGAACAGGGAGAGATCACTCACCAATTACCATCACAGGCAAGTAAGAGTAGGGTAATGAGAAATAATACCAGATCTTAAAACAATCTTCCCTCCACCCCTCTCCTTCCCGGGCTCAGCTTCACTCCTGATTTCT